AGAGAGAGAGAGAAATTCTGTGTTCATATTCCTTAGGTCAGAGAACATGCTGGTGAACAGGAATGGGGGTTAAGACAGAGACCTCCACTGTGATAAAGGGAGGGTACAACTCACCCTTTTGTCTTCCATTAGTGTGAGATGGTCTGCTGTCACTTACTGCCAAAATGACTTTGGAGGCCACAAGCCCCGTAGTGGACAAAGCAGTGTTCATCCTGCTCTTGCAGAGACCACTGGGAAGAACCCTGAGTCTCGCAGCCTGCATCGGGAGGCTCAGTGCTTCTACCCAGAAGGCACCTGGTTCCATCTTTGGCAGTTCGACAGGCCACAGTCCCCTCTGGTTAGCTTATGTGCGTGTGACCTTGGTTGGGATCAATCAGACTCACTGAGGTGGGCCACGAAATGGGGCCAGTGGCACCCAGAAGCGGTGAAGGATGTTTTCAAGGCAGCTGTGGTGCCCTGCAACCTGCATCCTGGTGCAATGCATGATTTGTGTTCTGTGGTAGAAATTCAACTACGGTGGCGGGCCCCCAAATCTCCTTCATCCCAGCTGATTGGTGGTTCTATGGACTCTTCCATAACCTGTATGTACTTTCCCATAACCAGAAAAAAAAATCTTTCCTGCTTGCTTTAGCCAAGCCTGTTTTCTGTTGCTTATGGCTAAGACTCCTTCTAACATGCACACGCGTCCTTCAAGAACCAGGGGGCTGGTCTTTCCCTAGATCCCTTTCCTGATCTCCCCCTAGGAGCCCCATGCCCCTCTCTCCAGCACTTCCAGCTGGCAGGCGACTTTCGTGTAGCACCACCCCAGAAACAGAGACACCTGGCTGTGCTGGAATCACAGGCCTTCCAGGCTGTTGAAGGGGGAGTGTGTGCCTGTTTCCTAGGGCCACTCCTGTGGGAAGGGTGGAGAGTCAGTGTCTCAGATTTTGTTCCCTGAAGGCAAACAGGCTTGGGGCAGGAAAGCTAGCAGTTGCCTAAGGACTATGGGGGGAACAGGTGATCCCCTGAATCTAGTGTAATCTATATCTAAAGAAATACCTGAGTTAGGGCACAGAAGGATGGAGACCAGTGGCTGGCCAGCTGAGCAGGAGGAAAGGCAAGAAAAGGGAGAAAGAGGAGGCAGCCTCTAGCACCCATACCAGCCTGTGGCAGAAGGAGCTCCTGCCTCAGTGATGGGGTTGGTTGTCTGTCTTCAGAGAGTCCTCAGCACAGCCGTAAAGCCTGCTGTCTGTGGCCTAATAATGTCATCAGGACATTGAACCAGCCCTGCATCCCCTGCCCTGTGGCTTATTGACTGTAAGCAGCATAAAGTTGGAGCCATTATTAGTTGGCCATTTTAATCTTTGACCAGCCAGATACACTTTAGCTGACCTATGCTCAAAGTTATTTGTAGAGGGATAATGTACCAACCCATCTTCTTTTCTCCTTCTCCTCCTCCCCCCCCCCACAACAGGGTCTTGTATATTGCCCAAGCTGGCCTTGAACTCACAATCATCTTGTCTCAGATTCCCACATGCTGGAATCACAGTTGTGCATCTCCTTTTGCCAGCCCACCTTGTTCTCTGGCATAAACTCTATGAAAAGCAGGAGGTTGTATTTGGGGTTGCTAATAAACACAGTTAATTCTTTTCTGATGCTGAGCCCGCTCATTGGATGGAGAACAGTCCACTCCAAGTTTCCACTCATTCTCAATGAGGATCCCCTCTCCAGGGGGCGTCCTGGGCATCACATAAGTGCAGGAGGCATGCACCCCATATTCCGGTAAGATAACTTACTTCCATGCTTTCACTGAAGACTGTTTTTATCCCATGACGTTTTCACTCTGTGAGATCTTATGCTAGTGTTATTTTTATGACACTCCAACTTTTTCTAAAAAAAGATTTATTTTTATCTTATGTATATGTGTTTTGCATGCTGCTGGTGCCTGCAGAGGCCAGCTGGTACCGGATCCCTTGGAACTGGAGTTGTAGACAGCTGTGAGTCACTATGTGGGTGCTGGGAACCAAACAGAGTCCACTGCAAGAGCAACAGGTGCTCTTACCTGCTGAACCAGCTCTTCTGCTTCCAACACACATTAAAAAAGGAAATTCCACAAACTCCAGAATTACCCTGAGAAATGAGAAGGACAAAGGGCTGTTGGGTAGGCTGTTGGGTAGGGCTTGGGGAGGGAGGTGAGGTGAACAACTGGGCCTTGAGACATTTGGGTCTTAGTAGAATGTTTCCTAAGTCACAGGCTGGGTTGTTGGTTCAGGTGTGTCTGTCAAGGGATGCTGGGACTTAGGGAATGACTCAAGGTTATGACTCTTGGTGTCCACATATATGTGTCACCCCCCAGCAATGGCCTAACTGAGCTGTTCCTATGAAATGACTTCTGCTAAAAACCTTGATGGGTTTTACATTTATGTGGTAGAGCTGGGATTGGAACCCAGTCTATCAGGGCCAAAGCCATCCTCTATTCCCCATTGGAATTCCCCTTGGGGCAAGGTAGGGGACATGAGCGTTGTGAGCCTGGAGACTCTAGAAAAGGTATCGGTCCCTAAACAGAACCCTACGAGCAGCTGAGATTCTAACCCCTCCCCCACCCTGTGATCCAACAGAGGTCCTAGCAACTATAGGGAGTTCTATAGGCACTGAGCATCCCTCACATCCCAGTCCCTGAGAGGGAACAGGGCACAACGCTGGGAAGAATGGATAAACATGGTGAGTTGGGCTAGAAAGGCCATGGACCACTTGACCCATCTTGGACCAACCAGCCCCTGGTGACATTAGAAAAAGTGAACCTTTTTGCAGTTACCCATCCATGTTCCTACAAGCCCTCTGATTTCTCCTTCCTAAATATTCATGTCATCCACCATCGATTCTCTTATTATTGCTTGTTCCTCTTCAGACATCTTTCTGTCTCCTCTGGCCTGGACATTAAGGATCTTTTTCAGAGCTGAATAATGGTGCTGGGCGTGTTGGCCTGTGCATTTGAGCCCAGCACTGAGGAGATAGAGGCAGATGGATCTCTGTGAGCTTGAGGCTAGCCTGTTCTACACAGTGAATTCCAGGACATCCAGAGACATATAGTGAGACACTGTCTCAAAAATACATACGAAAACAAAAACAAAAACAAATCCCCCCAAAAGAGCAACAACAACAAAAAAATTAGAGTGGAGAGGGGTTAGACAGGGATTCAGACTGCAGCCCAGGCTGGCCTGGAACCTATTACATAGCAGAGGCTGCTGACCTGAGATAGATAGATAATAGATGATATATTGATTGATTGATTGATAGATGATAGATAGATAGATAGATAGATAGATAGATAGATAGACAGAAAGATGATAGGTAGGTAATGATAGGTAGAAAGACAGAGATAATAGGTAGTTATAGATGATGAATGGATATAGAGACAATGAATTAGATTGACCTACATGACAAGGAAATAGGTATACCCCACAATAGCTGTGTATATGCTGTATAGTGCAGAAACTAACAGCTCTCAGTACAGGAAACTCAAAACTTCATAACAAGAGGAATAAGATGCAGCCCAAGACAAGGGTCTTTTCTGAGACTGATACTCCAACCAAGGACCATGCATGGAGATAACCTAGAACCCCTGACCTGAGCTCTCAGCAACCCTCCTGCTGTACTTTTCTAGTGCTGAGATTATCAGCATGAGTTACCACCTAGTTTGTAACGATTCTTAAAGTCCCTATCATGTTGGAGGGAATGCCCCACACTACAGTCTGAGAATGCTTCTCCATCAGAACACACATGACTTCCCATTACTGACAAACAGCTCTGAGCTCTAGCCTCTCTTTTCAACCCTGTTTTCTAGTCCCCCTCTTCTCCAAATGTTTCCCAGCACCTCTTTCTGGCTGTGTCAGGCCTGCACTTGAAACAGAGTCTCCATCTGTTTCCCTGAGTTTCCAGTTGTGGTAAGACTGAGAACTGGCAGTTTCAGATATTCTTGATCCCATCTAGAGACTCCTCCAAGCCCCACCTCATCACCCACATTGAAGGTGCTGAGATGAAGCGGCACCATGACAGAGTTTTACATATGGGTGGCATGAACTTGGCACCCAGGAATCAGCTCCTCCTTGCTGTGACAACATACCTCGCACAAGCAGCTTAAGGAAGGAAAGGGTTATTCTGGCTCACAGTTTGAGGATGCCTTCCACTGTGATGGCAAGGTCACGGCGGCAGGAGCTTGAAGTCCCATTGCATCTGCTCTCAGGGAACACGCTTTCTCCTTTGTAGTCAGTCTCAGACTCTAGCCCATAGGGTGGTGTCACTCATAGTCAGGGTGACTCTGTCCACATCGGTTAAATCAACCTAGAAACCTCTTCACACAAACTCTCGGGTGCTTTTCAGTCCTGTCAATTTGAACACACACGAGCCTTCCTTCCTATGGCTGCCATTCTGCTCAATTCCCAGCTTGGGGAACAGATGAACAGGGGTCATAGAAACCGTGTTCAGAAAACTTGGCAGACCCCAAGTGTGCCCCCCCCCCCCGCACCGCCCCTTCTGGAGCTATGTGCCAGGTCTGCTGAGGGAATGCTTCTCTCAGAGAAAACCCGCTTAGTTTCTGGGTCAGCCCAGGAACTTGCTTCAGCCCTATGTACTACTTGAGATATCTGAGATGAACACAAGTGTCAGTCAGGGGGCATAAGCCCATAAACGACCACCCACTGAAGTGACACTTGGTTTATTAACGTTGGGTAACCCTCCTCCTTCCGGGTTGGCAATACATGTTCGTTGATTGCTTGCCCAACAGCAAGCAGGAAATTGTAAGCTTTACCCAGACATTATCTAGATAAAGTCAGCCTTACAGCCACTCTTGAGGTAGATGCTACTTTTCCCACTTCAGAGACGGGGCGCAAAAAAAAAAAAAAAAAAAAAAAAAAAAAAATGGAGCTTGATGGAAGCGAGGTGACTTGCTTGGAATTCTTAGCAAGGAAGCTCAGGAGGGCGGGAACTCAGTCCTGGGATCTGGGACTCAGAAGCCCTTTGGCAGGCAGCGGCCCACACAGGCTGGATTCAGGCTCCAGCAACAACAGGCAGCCAAGGCAGCGGGCTGCGCTGATCCCCTTCCCGCCTGCAGGCGTGAAGACCCCTCTTTGGAGGAAGGAGGTGGAGGAGCCTGAGGCCAGGGAGGAGGAGCTGGAGGACGATTCGGAGTCGTCGTCGTCGTCCTCGGAGGTGGAGGAGAAGGCGGACCCGGAGAGTCCGACGGAGACCGAGGAGGACCCTAGAGAAGCCGACCAGCGCGAGGCTCGCTCGGTGTCCTATTGCCCGCTGCGCCAGGAGCCCAGTAACCAGCAGGTGGCGCTGCTGCGACGCTCGGACAGCGGCTTCTGGGGCTGGCTCAGCCCGTTCGCGCTGCTGGGTGGCCTGGCGGCCCCCGCGGACAGGTGAGACGCAAGGCACCGGGGGCCGAGCCGTAGGGAGGAGGGCTGCCCGAGCACTCACGTCCCCGGCCCGCAGGAAGCGGGGTGCTCCGGAGGAACCGTGCGTGTTGGAGACTCGGCGGCGGCCACCGCGCCGCGGGGGCTGTGCCCGTTGTGAGATCCTTTTCTGCAAGAAATGCAAGACCCTGCATACGCACCCGGCCTACGTGGAGCACTGTATTCTGGAGCACCCTGACCTGGGTAAGGCGGAGGCCGCCGGCAGCTCTGAGCGCGTCTGCTCCCAGCCTCTGCACCCGCAATGCTCCAAACTCTTCTATCTCTAGTGCTCTCCACAGAACTGTCCTTTCGCGCCGCCCTCCGTGGCGCCCCCTTCCGGTGAGAAGGTCCACTGTCGGTTCACTGTTCCACCTGCTGTCTCACCGAACTACAACAGAACCTAGGCCCTTCTCCCCAGGCAGAACCCCGCACCTACAGCCCTCCTGACCCCCGCCTCCAACACAGCCTCACCTGCATCTTTTCAGGTCCTTCCGGCCAGGCGAGCAGAGGCGTCGCCTGGAGGAAAATAGCCTCGGGGTTCCCTCAGCTCTCTAAGATATTGCCTCTTTGCCTCTAACCCCACAATAAAGTCTCTGATCAAAGCCGCCTGAGGTGGAGTGGAGTGATAGATGGGACCCTCCTTTCTCTCCCCTGAGCGCGGGGTTGGGGGGAGGGACGGCTAGCAGGAGGTTCCTACAAGGTCTCCCTGGGACAGGGCAATTCAAAGCACTTGCATCCAAGGGCAGTCAAAGGCCATTCTGTCCACTACACAGAGAAGGAGGGCGCATGGCCAGTAATGCCTCTGGGGAACTGCAGGCCGATCCCCTGCCAAAATCACCCCCCCCCCTCAGCCCCCCCTCCCCCGAGAGCTGGCTCATGGTGGAGGGGGAGGCAGGGAGGGCAGGAGATCCAGATGCTGAAATTAATACCGAGACGGGCTGAGACTCAAGGGGAAGGCCGGGAAGCTGGTTCCTTCTCCAGGAATCCCAGCTATTCTTGGCTAGACGGCTCGAGCTTCGGAATGCTGCTGCGTGTGTGGCCTGGAGAATGGGGCCACTGAGAGCAAACAGGCCTCACCCAACCTGCAGAGCGCTACGGAGGTTGCATCCCCAGTGCCCGCACTGGGTGGACCCACAAGGACCCTCTTTCATCTTCCTGATGCTCCAGACGTCCATCTTGGAGGCAAAAACGGGGTGAAGATGCTCTGCTTTTAAAGGGAGGAGTACCCCCTCTCTCCATGACAATCATACACAGCTGGCTGTGTCTGGGTTGGATGTTAGAGCATGGTCCCTGTGTCTCCAGCACCGGTACCCATCTGCTTCTATTGAAAGGGAAGGCGATTCTGTCCAAGGAGCTGGTGGCCCTTCTTCGTTAACCCAAGACAAGCTTAGGAGGAGCGCATTCCCTTCTGCGCTGTGTCCCATCCGATAGAGGGCCTCTGACAGTGGAGACCCTTGGGCCTTCACCACGGCAGGGTGAACTCTCCGAGGAAATATCACATGATTTTCCAAGCACTGAGCCCGAAAGACGCCGAAAGGGAGGGTCCTGCAGAATAGTCTCCACCCTCAGCTGAATTTTGCATTCTCCTCTTCAGAACAGAACCCCCCCAACCCACCCCTAGGAGTGGGAAGGAAAAAGGCTATGGGAACCTCGTTTTGCCTCTCCGGGGAACAAACGCAGACCGATTTCCTGCTGTAGCTATGCTGCCAGGAGGTTCCGGCGAGGTCCAGGGGCTTCCTGGACAGACCCCGCCCCTCAGGCGGGGGCAACCGCGGTTCATTCGGTGATAGGGAGCCTTCAGAACAGGGTACCTCCTGAGTTGGCATTCCAACAACCCATCCAGGGCAGCTCGGTGGCCCAGCGGCCGGAGCCGGTCACGCGCAGCTTGGCTTGATCCAGGTGCCAGTAGTGGTCATCCCTGAAGAAGATGATGGAGCCATCGGGCCTTGGCAGGGCGCCGCTGACCTCCTCAGGGACCCCGGCCCAGTCCCGCAGACTGCGGGGGTAGTAGGGCTCCACTTGCATGGCCCCTCGAGCCAGCACGTAGTAGCGGGAGCCCTTGAAGAGGACAAGGCGGCGCAGAGGCGGGAAGAAGAGAGCTGCGTCTGGAAGACGGGGCAGACCGCCTGCCCGGCATCGCTGTGCGAACCCCCACACGGATTTCGGGCCCTGGAACCTCCAACATCGACTCCCTGTGGGGCATTGGGAGAGCCAGAGTGAGCTGGAGGCTCCCAGTCATTGGCCTTCCACCCCATCTCTGTCTTCCTGGTTCCCACTCTTTCTAGCTTGAGCCTCAGACAGTTTGTTACCCTTGAGCCAGTCAAAGTGTGGCTAAGACTAGAACACGGTGGAGGGGAACCTGTTACGGTCTGGACGCCCAGCAGGTGTCAGCAGAGAGCAGATGCCGCTGAATGAACCCATCCATCCCAGGCTGAGGAGGGTAGGAGGGTGGTGGGGAAGGGGCTGGGGATGGGAGATGAAGGTAGGGTTTCCTGTCTAGGTGTGGAATGAAAGATTGAGAACATTTGAACTTTTTTTTTCACTCCCCGACTACTGATAATTCCCGGAGGGCAAAGGTGTTGGTTTCGTCGACGGCTGCGTCCCCAGTCCCCTACTCCCCGTGTTCCTAGGCCCTCCCCGTGTTTCCAGGACGACACAGGAACTCCGCACTGGCTGAAGGAATGGACGCTGTTCGGTACAGGGCCACCACATGTGGCCTGTGTGCTTTCCACCCTTCCGTCGGTGCCTTTTATCCCGCTTCCCACCACACCCGGGTATCGCTCTCCCCGTCCAAGAAATGCGTGTTTCAAAAGCTCTCTAAGTGGCCTGCCAACCTCACACGGCAGGGACGCCAGGGCAGACGCTGCCAGACCTCCTGCAGACCTGCAGACTGGAGAGCAGTCCTCCCCCTACACGTCTCTACACGGGACACCCTGGACACGTGGTGCTCCCAACTCCACCCCTGAAAGGACTCTTTCCTGGGCCACAGGTTCAACTTGAGGTGTTCAACTTGCTGGGGCCCTCCCCTCTTTTCACCTCAGGCAGGACAGCCCCCACCCCACCCCCACCCCGTCTCAATCTCAGCTGGCTCAAGGCTGGTACCTTTGAAGAAGTAGAAGTCTCCATCTTCCAGAGACACTGCAGCAGCCTCAATATTGGGGGGCAGCCCAGGCCACCTTTTCTGTAGTGGGCTGGGCTCCGAAACATTGCCGTCAGCTGTGACTTCCCAGAAGTGGCTCCCTTTGAAGACGTACATCCGCCATTGCGCATCTGTCCCGAGAGAAGAGAGACGTGAGGAGGAGCTACTGGGCTCCTGCTGAGTTTTGGGTAAGGTGCTGGCCTAGATCCGGTTTCCCAGACGACAAGCTGAAGGTGGGATGCCCACGGGGTGAGGCTGGGGGCCTGAGGGAAGGGGGGGAGTTCTTTGCTTGACCTGAGCTTGCTCCCTGAGGAAAGCGTGTGATTTCGGATTTCAGTGTTCAAGAGATCCCCGTTCCCCACACCTTGTAATACAGCTCTGGGACACCCGAGGATGTGGAGGGAAGGAAGATGGCAGGCGTGGCTTACCTACAGTGATGGCGTCAAAGGAAGTGTGGCAGTATTTAGGACCTCTGGTTTCCGGGCCTCTGCTCTGGGAGTTGTGGGGGTTCCAGGCCTCAAAGTCAGTGAATAGCTTTCCGGGGAGTTGGGTGGCTACTGAGCGTCCCAGGGGCTTCCCTTAAGAGCCAAGAAGAAAGAGAAGGGGGGACATGGGTAGGAGCATGAGGAGGGCTCAAGACCCTCCCTTCTGCTCCACCCATGGCCGAAGGAAAGAAAGGGTAGGGGCCTGTGCAGCCCTGGTTGTTGGTTTTATCCATCAGCACACCATCCTAGAGATCTCCTCTCCCACGCGACGGCCCAAGAAAGTGACTGTCTGAGAGAACGTGAGAGAGGGAGAGCAAACAAAGGGTTCCGAGCTAAGGGCAGAGGTTTGCACTCCTGAATCGCTGCGGGGAAAGCAGAGCCCGCGGATGCTGAGCTTTCAAGGGAGCCTTAGAGAAAGGATCCAAGCAAGGAAACGGCAGGGGGAGTTTGAGGACTGGAGATCCCGGGAGACAAGGATAGAGCCCGGAGCAGGCCGGAGGCTCACCGTACAGACTCTGCACCGCCAGCACGTCGTCCCAGCTGAGTAGGGCGTCGCGGCCCAGCTTCTTGTAGTAGGGCGCCATGAGCGCGCGCGGCGCGGGCGAGTGCGGGAGGCCGAGCGTGTGGCCGATCTCGTGCGCCAGCACCACGAACAGGTTGCGCCCGCGGCGGCGGCTCAGGGACCAGCGCTCCTCTCGGTCGAAATGCGCTTCGCCCCGGCGGGGCAGGAAGGCGTGCGCCAGGGCGCCCCCTGTGAACGATACAGAGTGCGTGTCGGGACGAGCCCCGGACTCGGGGCGCCCTCCCTCCCACAGGCACCGCGCTCCCACGAGTGGGGTGCGGTTGTCGTCTATTCGTTTCTTTCTCCGTAGAGTCTGATAGATGCAGGAGTTCGGGCAGGTGAGCAGATGACTAAGCAGTGGCCTCTGAAGAGGAAGTATATAGCAGGTGCCAAACTGCCAGGTCTCCAACACGAGATTCACCTTTTACTAGCTGTCTGATGTTGGGCAGACAGCTTAACTTCTGTTACGCTTCCAGAAAATAGACATGGTGATGGAGAGCTTCTTCCTCATAGGAATGAGTGTGTATCACACTTGGTTCTTAGAACAGTGCATAGTCTAGGACTTATTAATATTGGGTACCCCTAGAAGTGAAATGGTAAGGCTTTCTGCTGCTTCCGGATCTGGGCGCTTGGTATGTTTATGTTCAGGAGTCCGCAAACTTGACAATGTGCTTCTGTGTGTTTGTACATTTTCTTTCTTAAAAAGGAAAAAAAAAGTTTGTGTTGTTTTTATGGCTGGGCATGGTGGCGCACGGCTCTAACCCCAGCGCCCGGAGGCAGAGACAGAGGGATGTCTGCGAGTTCCAGGCCAGTGTAGTCGACAAAGGCAGTTCAAGGCCAGCTGGGGCTACATAGAGAGACCCCGGTTTGTTTGTTTTTTTAAAAGTGTGTGTGTGTGTGTGTGTGTGTGTGTGTGTGTGTGTGTGAAATGTGCCATGTAGAGATCAGGGGACAACCTGAAGGACTCAGTTCCCATCTTCTAACATGTGAGTCGCAGGGCTCAAACTTATATGTCTATGCAGGCTTGGCAGCAGGAACAAGCACCTTCACCACCTTCACCCACTGAGCCAGCTCTCCACCACCACCCTTATCTATTTGGACAGAGTTTAGTATGCTGGCCGTGTGTGTGTGTGTGTGTGTGTGTGTGTGATTTGTGTGTGTGCATGAGTGCATGAATGCATGTATGTTGCAGGTGCGCTCACGTGTGCGGGCCAGAGGTTGATGCTGGGATGTCTTTTCTCAGTCGCTTTTCTTTCTTTTCTTTTTTCAAGACAGGGTTTCTCTGGGTAGCCTTGGCTGTCCTGGACTTGCTTTGTAGACCAGGCTGGCCTTGAACTCACGAAGATCCACCTGTCTCTGCCTCCCAAAGTGCTGGGATCACAGACGTGTGCCACCATGCCCACCTTCTCAATCACTTTTCTAAGTTAATTTTTAAAAATCTTTTTTTAAAAAACGATTTATTTTTTTATGTAGACAGTGTTCTGCCTGCCTGTATGCCAGAAGGCAACAGATCTCACCATAGATGGTTGTGAGCCACCATGTGGTTGCTGGGAATTGAACTCAGGACCTTTGGAAGAGCAGCCAGTGCTCTTAATTTCCAAGCCATCTCTCCAGCTCCCTTTTTAATCTTTTGAAACAGAGACTTTATGTAGCTCTGGCTTGCCTGGAACTCACAGAGGTCTGCCTGCCTCTGCTTTCCATGTATGGGAGTTAAAGGTATGGGTCACTATGCCCTGTTAAATTAACTGATTTGTTATGTGTATGAGTATTTTGCCTGCATGTATGTTTATGTGTACCACCTGTGCTTGGTGCCCTCAGATGCCCAGAGAGGGTGTGGGATCCCTGGAACTGGGGTTATAGACAATTGTGACCTGCTATGTATGATGGGAACCAATTTTAGGTTCTTCAAAAGAGCAGCTGGTGTTCCTAACCTGAGCATCTCTCCAGCCTCCTCCATCTTTATTAAAATTCTGAGACAGGGCCTCTTGCTGAACCTGAAGCTTGACATTTTGGCCAGGTTGACTGGCCAGTGAGCCCCCAATATTTTCCTGCCTCCATCCCTCAGTGCTGGAGTTACATGTGTGCTGAGACTCTGAACCCAGGTCCTGACTCTTGTGCAGCACGGAGCCGTCTCTCTAGTTTCCTGACCACAAGGGTGCTTGGGTTACAGGTGTGTGCCACCACACCTGGCTCCTGTATATGGTTTTGTATAAGCGTGTATATTCTTGTGTTCCTGTCTTCCCTCTGCCAGGGCTCCTCTGGGCCTCTCTCCCTGCTCATCATAGGAGTGAGCAGAGAGAGTTAAGCTCCTCAGTAATTGTCACTGGTATATATGGGTCCTCACAGAAATAATTAGATGTAGCTGCCTGGTTCTTCCCCCGAATATACCTTACATTGAGGCAGGTGACCCTGACAGAGGTTAGCAAAATGAACCATGATAACATTAGCCTAGAAGCTCGTCAAGAGTCCTTCCAGCATTGCCTTCCAGGAGCCCAGGTTGGCAGGAACTGGAAAACATGGAGGCAGAGCTTGCCAAAGGCAGGGGGAATGTGTGCTTCCTGAATGTGCTTCAGCTGTCTCCAGCACTGTTCAGTCTGCTTAGCTCTCACTGGGCTTCACAAACAACCCATATTTAGATTCCTAAGGCTAGTGCTGAGCAGAATGGGAGAATGGCTTTCATTGCAGAGGAAGCCTTCAGGCTGGGGACATCTGGATCCAGCTGTGGCCATGACCTATGAAGCACTTCTGTGAATGCCAGGGTAAAGGCCTCTTGCGCTGGTTGACTGAGGGCAGGGGAGGAAAGGGCTGATGGAAGCCTCAAGATATCTTATGAGAGTCTACCCTGGAGAACAACAGAAGCACAGGCCTGTCTAGGAACCAGGAGTAGACAGGATCTCAGAATGTTCTCCAGGAATCTAGCATACTCTAGAGTTAGCGAAGTACTTTCCACACCAAACCTTATCTGGCTGTCCTTTCAGCCATGTGGCACACCTTGGAAAGGACCTGCGGTTCTCATTTTACAGATGAGGCAATAGAGGGTCCTTTGGGGAGAGCCTGGCTTGGCTGTGGTTTCAAGGAAAATAGAAACTTCACTGCCACCCCCAGGCTGCTTCTCCTAGCCAGGCGCCCTTCTTGCTGTGTGGAAAGGGGATTTGTGGGAGCACCTGGGCCATCGAAGGCGTTGGCCAGCCCATCATTGTGGTCCCCTTGGAAGAAGGTGAGGCGAATGTCGGCAGGGCCTGTGGCTGGGGCCTCCCAGAACTCCAGCGCTGACACATTGCTCCACAACTGGAAGGCAGCTCGCACGGCCCCTCGAACAGCTGGCTCAGGCAGGTGTTCGGGCCAGTTCACCAGGTGGTAGGAAAGATGCTGCTTGTACCATTTGTTACCTGTCACCCAGAAAGGCCACGTGAGTCATACCTGCTGCTGAGGATGGTCCCCACAGACCCAGTAAGATGGGTTGGCCTGGCCCCAGAGAACTGTTGATCTGACAGGGAACACTCAGCCCTTGCCCTGAGCAGCCTCCCATTTGATAGGAGGGAAGATATGTCCCCACTGAAGGGCCCCCTCACCCTGGGCATACTCCAATTTAGTGGCCTAGAGGCACCACGTGATGTTAGAGATGTAGCTTCTGCCTGAAAGAGATCCCCTTCAAGGATCAGCCTGAACCCTTGGCCTCAGGTCTTATTCTTTCCCACAACCTAGGCTACAGGCCGCCAGCTGACAATCACTCTGAGGCCCATGCTCATTGTCCTGGATAAAGAGGCAGTGGGGGCCCCTGAGGTCACACCTGTGACTGCCCCAGGCGCTTCCTCCATCCTCACAGTCTCCTGCCGCCTCCCAGAGACTACCCTGCACTTACCAGAACCTAGGGCCTGCAGCTGGCCAGCAACCAAAAAAAAAAAAAAAAAAAAAACAAAACAAAACATAAAGTTGAGGTCTCTCCCTGCCCCCTTGACCTCCTTTCTGCTTTCTTTGGGGACTCTAGAGAGCTCTGAGTTGAAGACAAATAAGAACAAAGGGTGTGTTTTGTCACAGGCCCAAAAAAAATTTTCCATCTCTTCTTTCTTAAGCTGTTTTCCCCTTTGCCCCAAACCTCTGTCCCTCCCTGAGGGCTGGGACGCTGGCCTTTGCTGAAGCCCCAGGCCATTTATTTCACTGGACTCATCTGCAGTTTGCTGTACATCCAGGGACAGACCAGCCACAAAGTCTGGCTTCTGGGTTGGTCAGGGATGGCCTCTGAGTTGATCAGGGATGGCCTCTGAGCCCTGTAGCTCAGAGACTGAAATCCCTCATAGATTGCAGGCAAGATTCCCCAGGCCCAGACTTTGATGCCTGTGACTCCAGGGGAAGGCGCCTGCCCATAGCTGCAAAATGAGAGTGGAGCTAAAGCGGGGCCCTGACCCCTGGCCCAGTGTTCCTACAGTACCACATGCATAAGCAGCAGAGACACCAGGCCTACAAATCTGCCTAAACATCACTTGGTCCCGCTCAGCAAGGGCTGAGATTCCCCAGATGGAAGGGAGGTTGATTCTGGCCCTCTCCACCCATGGAAGTGGGGGCGGGGTGTGCACCACTCCATTCAAGGCAAGGCCTCTCCTTGGGTTTATTTGGCCTGGCAGCCACCCAACCGCTGCTTCTCAGCCAGTGACCAGTCCTTAGGGAGAGAAGAGGGAATTATTCTGAGGAAAAGAGAAAGACAGGGAAGGTAGAGGGTAGGGATCCAGAGGTGTCCACACAGGTCGGATCATTCTTTACCATGAACACGCTGCTGCTTGCTCTAAGTCTTCACATGGCACAGACCAGCGTGCCCCAGGCTCTCCTACATCCAGTTGTGACTGACACTCAGGGTCCTCCCGACCACCAACACCAAAACTTTAACCCTCTAGCAAGCGGTAGAAGGTGGCCCCTTCTTCAGTTATGGTCTGTCATCCCCCTTTCACCCTCGAAAGGCAGGAAAGGGGGAGGGTGGTAGTCATTTTAGTAGCCAGTAAAGGTGAAAGGTCTCCAGAAAAAAAAAAAAAAAAATCCTATCTGAAGTGGGCTGGGGGAAGGGTAGAGAGAATGAATGGGAACAGAAATTGAGGGGGGGGGGGGAGGGCTTTCCTTGGGAGGCATGAGGAAGGAAGGAACTGGCTGGGGGGGGGCAGCGTTAGCCTGACCCCTGTCCTCTTCTGCCTTGGCCCCCAGGAGAAGGCTGGTTACTTTAGGCCCTATTCTCCAATCCTACCTGGGCGGGGCTGCCTTTCATGATACTCCCAGGCTCTTGCCACGTGCCATTGCCCACTGTGCCCTCTCCCCAGGGTCCCAAAGAGAAGAGGGAAGGAAGGGAGCTAAAGAGGGCAGGGACATCAAAACTAAAAGCTTGGAGTGGGAGGCGTAGTCCTGACTCCCGGCAGGTAACTGATGATAGAAAAGGGGACAGGCTGAAACTATAGGACTGTACATGCAAGCTCGAAGGAAATGGAGGAATCTCCCCAAGCCTCAGTTTCCCCCTTCGTACAGTGGGGTTGATAAGGGCTTACCTTTGAAATGTGGTGGAGGTTAGACATTACCCCTTTGCTTTGATTTCCTTTTCTAGCTCAGATGCACCACCCCGCTCCCCAACCCACCAACTCTGTGAAGGAACAGGGGAATTAGAAATCAGCCCTTCAGCCACAGAGAGGGGCAGGGGCTTGGGCTGAGCTTGGCAGACACAGCACATATGAATCCAGGATGCTCAGTAAAATTTGAATAGGGAAATTTAAATACAATTACTTATTGTTCACCAGAAGTTCAAGTTTAACTAAGCATCCTGCATTTCTCTGGCAGTCAGGTACCCCGGACTGCTTGCTACAATGCACGAAATCGGATCCTACCTTGGGGGCAGGAGATGAGATGCAGCCAGAAAGAAGCAACCCCAGAGCTCAGGCTCAAGTGTTTCTGAGCCTGCCTGCTTCTCATTGCATCCCCTAAGGCCATCTTGCACTAGGCGACAGCTGATAATTGAACACTCGGACTCCAGTGATCTCTCTGCTCTGGCCTGTCGTGAGCCTGTGCCTCCCCCTTTCTACTTCACTCTTCCATTTTATTGCCCAGGAACACAATGGGATGTACAGCGTGCTGACACCGAGGGCATCCTGATGCCAAGGCCAGGACCCCAGAGTTGACTGTGGATGAATGCGGCCATTTAGAGCAGGGCAGCCGGGGTGGACGGACAAGTTGATGCAGCAACGGTGGACTAGCACATGCCTAGAAACAGCTACCCTGCAGCTGCCTACCCTCCCCTTATACATTAGCTGAGACAAGAAAATAAACTGCGCACAGTGAATGCGGTCGCTAAAAACAGCACGGTTGAAAGTGGCCACAGCCCAGAGCGCACACAGTAAAATGAACTGTGCTTGAAAACCTGACAGAAAAACCTCATCTTGTGAGCAACCTTGAAAGCTGCAAAAACTGATCAAAGGAAAACTGACTTTGTCGAAGCAATTACTTTACTAAAATTCCACACAGTAAAACAGCATTTGTAGAAAATTGACAGAAGAATCAAATCTTCATCAACCTTAGATGGATAGTATTTGCTTCTGGAAATATTTGATTGCGGGAGGGGGAGGAGAAAGAAGAGAAGGAGAAGGAAAAAGAGGAAGAGAGAGAGAGAGAGGAGGACAGGGAGAGGAGGAAAAGAGGAGGAAACAGAGAAGGGAGAGGTGAGGACTGTGATGTAGGTCAGTGGCATCACTCACAACTCAGTTCAAATCCTGGAAAGAAAGGATCAGGAGACAAGGAAATTTCCCACCAGGAGACACTGTACAGAGTACACAATGGGCTTTGGTGAAATGTTAAAAATAGGCGGTTACTAGGGCCCGCAGCAAGGCACAATGGGGAGTTAACTGCTAATGGGCATAGGGCTTCTTAAGAGGATAATGAAAACATTCTGGAAAGAGGAATTAGCTTGTGGTAATGGTTGGACAATTCTACAAATATTCTAAGCCCCATTAAGTTGGATACTTTAAATGGGCAAATTGCATGGTCTGTGAATTCCATATAAATAAAACTGATTTTTTTAATGCCACAAACAAAATAAAACTCATCAATGGATCACATCTTGGTTGAATAAGTATTATGAGAAAGAATGGATTCTTATGAAAATAATTTCAATATAAGCAAAAACTACTGACAACAGTTTTACTGCTCTGCGGAGAAAATTGTTTAGAGAATTAAGAGGGCTTGATGAGGTTTAATGTGGAGATACATGTACAATGAAAGCTCATCAATGCAGATATAATTTTGAGTTAAATATCTGTATTCATGATTATGATCCTTGAGTCAAAAGTTCCGCCCCTTCTCTGCCTTAGGGAAGAGCAGCTATTCCCATAGTCTGTCCTCACTGTTTTAGGCCGTGGACCCTTATGGACACTGGGAAATTCAAGCCCAGTTCAATTTCAGTGCACTCACCTGGCTTTGCAAAGCGTTTCTTGCGCCTCGTTTTGGCCCGGTGTCCAGCAAACGGGGCACCACGGATCCTCTCTGTCCAAGCTGAATGACTGCCAGCATCTGCAACCCCACAGCGCGGACGTGTCATCTGTCGCAGTGTGGCCTGGTCCAGCACGCCACTGATGGGCAGCTGGGACACCCACTGGAACTCTCTGCCGGAAGGAATTAAGAGAAAAGACTACAGAGGTGGGATCACGGGGAGCTTGTCTCTTGCGCTCTTTCACATCCCTCCATCATACCTGATGGCATTGCTGAACTGAGTGGAGGCTGGAGCTTTGGAGCCCTGCTCACTGAGGTATCCATACTTCTCCAGGAATGCCTGGGGGTTTGGGGGTGGAGGAGAGAGGACCATCAGCTCTTCTCACCATGCAGCATCCTTATTCCCTCCCTCCTACAAGGGCCTGAGGCACATAAACCCAGACCAGTTCTCCTTCCTGTCCCAGGATTGTTTGAAAACCACAGCAGAAAAAGTTCTGGGATTAAAGCCCGAAGGCCGTCATCGACTAGCTAGAGGGTCACAGACAAGCTCCTCAATCAATATATCTGAACATCCGGTTTTGGTATAATCTTCTGGGGTTGTCAGGGATCTAACAGGGAGTCCTGGACAATGATGGATTCTGCAGGTAGGCTGGTCTGGGTTTGAATTCAAGCTCTCAAGTTACTTCTCTAAACTACACGATTCTCAGCTCCAGAGCGGTTGTTACTAAGAACTTACCCTTTTATGGGGACTGGTCATCACAGAAGCACTCAACACTGGGTCTGGGACCCAGGAGGGACCCCCACACTGAGCACCAAGTGTGTCTGTTATGGATATATCACACCATCCACACCATCACATTTGCTTTGAAGCATCTGAGGGATCTGGGAGCCAATCGGGTGCTGGCTCTGCCCTGCTTGGTCTTGCAAAAAAAAAATTATCCCTCTGATTTTAGCTTCTTTCAAATTCTCCCCTCCCAAAGGGCAAGTATGTTAAAGCCCTTTGACATCAAATATGCTTACTTACACCAACTTTTTTGGGGTTTTTTTGTTTGTTTGTTTCTTTGGTTTGGTTTTGGTTTTTAGAGATAGGGTTTCTCTGTGTATCAGAGTTGTCCTGGACTTGCTTTCTAGACCTGGCTGGCCTTGAACTCACAGAGATCCATTTGCCTCTGCCTGTTGGATTCTTTTTTTACCTGATATAAAAATATAACTTTCTAGAGAACATATTTTGAATTAGAATCTGCAACTCCTCCTTTGAGAGCTTCTGGGGAAAGGAAAACAACTAGGTAATGTCCCATGATCCTCCAGCTGTTTATTGACTGCATACCCTCACATACATGGAAGATGGTCTCCCAGGGACCAAGTTCTTGGTGCCATTTGAGAGAAGAAGGTGACTCATTGCCTCACCTATCACCAGTTCTGAACTTTGGGGAGCTGGTGCGCTTGGATTTCTGCTTGCCCAGAGCATTAATAGGCCCCATAAACCACACCTTGGATATAAAAAAAAAAGTTTCTTTCCTCTCCACTCTCTCGTTTTCTTCCTAGATTTATCCCAGGCTTGCCCTGATCTCCCATTGTAGGCAAGAATGACCTTGACTGACAACAAATAACCTCATTTTCCTGCCTTTATTGACTGAGTGCTGGGACTCAAAACACTATGGCTGATCAGTGTGTTGCTGAGGACTGAATACAGGTCCGTTGTTCATGCTAGGCAAGCACCCCACCAACTGGGCATCACCCCCAGCCCTTCAGCTTACAGTGTCTGAGACAGGGTCTCACTGTGTGATTCTGGCTCACCTGGAACTTATTATGTAGACCTGGCTGGCCTCTAACTCACACAGATCTGGGTGTCTCTGCCTCCTGCATGCTGGAGTTAAAGGAATGTGCCACCTGGACCAGCCCCAATGTCTTCTCTGTTGGCTTATCCATACAGGAGTAATTTTCTGTTTTTCTTGTTCTCTTGCCCTCACCTTTCTTTGCTGTATTTACTAACTCAAATTCATTCTAGTCATAGCTGCTGCCTCAAGCCAAACACACAGCTGGAAGAGAGGCCAGAGTCTCAAAGGACTGGCAAGCTTTCTTATCCCTGTGATCCCAGCATTTGGGAAGCAAGGGAAGCTTCAGATACATAGAAAGTTTGAGGTCAACATCATCTGTATGGGTCCCTGTTCCCCTTCCCCACAAACAAACAAACAAACAAACAAACAAACAAACAAGCAAAAAGCAGGGGCTGGAGAAATGGCTCAGCATTAAGAGAACATATTGTTCTTGCAGAAGACCCGGGTTCTGTTCCCAGTGCCCACATGGTAGGTAGTCCACACACACACACACCTGTAACCCCAGTTCCAGGGATCCGACACCCTCTTCTGACTTCTGTGGGCTCCTGCATGCATGTGGTGAACAGCGCATGCATACACATAAAAAAAAATCTTAGTATTTTTTTTAAATCCAAAACAATGGGTGGGGGGGGAGTGGCACACACCTTTAATCCCAGCACTTAGGAGGCAGAGACAGGGGGATTTCTGTGAGTTTGAGGCCAGCCTGGTTTACAGATCAAGTTTCAGGACAGCCTGGGAGACATAGAGAGATCCTGTCTCAAAAAACAAAACAAAACAAAACAAAAAACAAAAACAAAAAAACCCAAAAAACAAGATCAATTAATTAGCTAATTAATTAAAGTAAGGAATAATTAAAAAACAAGCAAACAAACAAAACAAAACCCTATTAGGTGACAGGACATATGTCTTTGAGCTTTGGGTCCCCCCCTCCAACACAACATGAAAATAATATGAACCTCACAGGAACCTCAGAAGGACTAAGGACTAATACATACAGAGTTTGGCAGTACATACATGTTTGTGATCCCACTACTCAGGAGGATGAGGTCTTTTGCTCAAAATCAGCTTGGGATAGTGAGTTCAAGGCCACCCTGAGCTACACTATAAGGCACCATCTCAGAAAGAAATAGCAAAGAAAGCAATGCACATCTGGCACAGTGCCAGGTACACTGTAAATGCCTAGTGAGTGATGTTTTCATTGGTTCACCTTAGCAGGGAAAATTAGCCACAGGCTTTTGGAATGCAGCCCTCCTGTATCTCTGTGCTCTGTTTAGGAACTGCTACTTGGCACTCACTTCAGCCAGGTCCAGGTTCTTCTCTGCACCCCTTCCCTTTCCCTTGGTGAGGCTAGAAAAAGGAATTTACAAGGAAGCCCTTTAGCTGGACCAGTGACTTTCAAGAGTTACCAGAGCACAGGTCAGCCCGGCTGGCACTCCTTTGTTTCCCCACCAACCCGCCCAGACTTTATCAGGGAGTTTGCTGAGGTTCTGTGACAGGGGAGAGGAAGGGAAGTTGGGGTGGGACAGCGGGGCTGTTTCCTGGCTGGGCGGCATTGCCTGGCACTCTGGAAACAAGCTGGGGCAGAGGTGGGTTCAGAGGTCATCAGAGGGGAAGTCTGGCCTCTACAGTGGCTTAGCAGAGTTGAATTCCCAGTAAGGAGAAAGAACACAAGCCCAGGACACCAGCCAAGCTGAGGCACCAGAGAATGAGAAAAAGGCATTTTAAGAATTTGACATTTAATATTTCCATAGTAGCACTCAAATATTATAATGGGGATCATCTGTATTTATGGACTTCTATGCTTATGCATAATAACATATTTATGCATTTAAAATGACATACAGGAAGGGGCCCCTGGCTACTGTTAGTGCTTGGAAGTTCTGGGCAGTACAGGAGAGAGGAGGTAATCAAGTTTCCTGCCTCTGGAACTATCCTTAACCCTCTTTGCTATTTTTCTGTGCCTTTGTCTCTGCCAAGATGAAAGAGATGCCCGACCTTGCATGGGAGAAAGACCAGGGGTGGGGTGGGTGGATAGCTGTGTGAAAATGAGGAGCAGAGGAATCTCACAAGACCCAGACTGGTGGCTGAGTCCCAGGCTTCATCCTTGTCCATCGCTTGCCCCTTTTGGGGTTGGAATCTCTCCTACTGGCTTCCATTTTCTGAAGCTTGGCTTGTGAGCGACTCTGAGCTCCATCCAGGGTCATTCCTTTCTGCCTTTCCTGAAGGTGGCGCCAGGCAGATCCTTGAAGTTCGAGCAAGTGTCTGTCTCCTTCCCTGGTCTCTGCCTGCCTGTTCTCTCTGCTAGGGAGCCCAAGGCCAGATCTAATGGGAGAAGAAGCTGAGGGCCTTGCCCTTTAAGGTGATTCATCCTGCACTGACCTAAAAACTTGTGCCAACATGCCTGGCCCGCCTTGAGTAAGGATGGTGCCACTTTCCTGGGGAGTCATCTCTGAAAGTCCCTGGGAGTGGCTGTGGGGCCTGGGTAACAGGAACATGCTCACAGGCTCAGCCAGCTGGGTGGGAGTGCCGCTCTAGAGGATCTCTGGCCATGAGACTGTGTGTGTCTAGCTCAGCCTGTCTGGTGTCTGAGGGAAGGGGAAATTCTGGCCCTTTATTTTACTTCATTTTTGCAGTTGCTATCTTTTATTTATTATGTATCCAGTATTCTGCCTGTGTGTATGCTTGAACGCCAGAAGGTGGCACCAGACCTCATTATAGATGGTTGTGAGCTATCATGTGGTTGCTAGGAATTGAATTCAGGAACTCTGGAAGAGCAACCAATGCGCTTAACCTGTGAGCCATCGCTCTGGCCCAATTCTGGCCATTTCTGAGCATGGTTATGAGGCAGAGTCCTCATTTTAAATTGGGCACTGGACTGACAGTCAGGTGAACCCCTGCTGCCGCTGTGCCCTCAGGCTTCTGGTACTGCCTCACTACTCTCTGTCTCAGTAGGCATCAGGTAGAAGACGAGTGCCTGCCTGTTCTCACCACAGCACCCCCAAATTCAGTAAGATGCTCTGGAAAAGCTCCCGGGAAGTCATCCCGCTGAGAATGTTATTTTAACTTCTGCAGTCATGGGGCTTTATTGCCAGAAGGAACCTTTTGCCAGGCGACTCTAGTAATCAGCCTTTTAAATATTCTCGGCATCAATTTCAGAAGCAAAACTAAATAAAGCAAAGAGGCCAGCGAGATGGCTCAGTGGGTAAAGACACTCGCCACCACCCTGGGTTCCATGTCGTATTCTATTTCATGGTTTCTGTCTCTGCACAGGTGCACGGTGGGTTCCACCTCTAGCTATTAGCCAAGTTGAGATGTAAGGGACAACAAGCCGGTATCCTGCCTTGACCTGCCCTCTATGTAAAGAAGGTCTATGGTGACCAGGGACACAAGCAGTCCTTAAATCTGTGGAGCTTTCTAGGTGTCATGCCTCCTTTGAACCTCACAGCCACCTTTCAGGAAGAACGTATTCCCATGTTAAAGGACAGTCGGGGGGACACCATGTCATGCTGAAGTGTCCCGGTGAGGGGTAGCACCA